TAAATTGAACTCAGTTTGGGTTCATCTTGCTTGTAAAAAGCACAAATCATCACCTGTAATTTTGAAGGCGGCGTGCCACCTCACCGATTAATAACTGTATTGGACAAAACCGGGCTGCACACCGACCTTCTGTTCCCTGAAGCGTCCGTCGATGATGCTGCCGCACAGGTCGTCCATCCTCTTCCTCTCCACTATGTAGTCAAGGACCAGCTCCCTGCCTACAGGCGCTCGCAACTGACCTGAGACAGAACAATCCTCCCTGTACGTTAAACAGGCGTGGCGCGGGATCCCTCCCATCAAACATCAACACTCCCACTCTCTCCTCCTGTATGTGTTACCTGCAACAGGTGCCACCTTTTCCCGAGCCACCCACAGGAAGTCCCCGACGTTTAGTTTCCTGATGTCAAAGTTGACTCCATTTCTCTGAAGCTCTTTCACCAGCTCCTGCTTACGATGGTGACTCCCACTACATAACAAATAAATACATACACAATTCAATTATATTTATTGAGGTGCTTCACATGGTAAGATAAAGATCCTACAATAATACGGTGAAAACCCAACAATCAGAAGATCCCCTATGAGAAACCACATGGCGACAGTGGGAAGAAGAACTCCCTTTTAACAGGAAGAAACCTCGAGGACTGAATGGAGCACAACATGGCTGTAAGAGCAGTCATCGCATGAGAACACAGTAACAACAGTTAGGTCAGTAAGGCAGATCTCTTACCCAGTGGTCTCGATGAAGTCAACACAGAGCATAATTTCATACGTTCCGGGTAGGAGACATTCTGCGTTCGGCTTTCTGCTTGTCGTCATCGTCGTCTGTGAATCCTGTGGTTTCCCCGATGAACGCACGTCGTCCACGTCGCAGCTAACCTCAGTGACGGTGGGTTGTCTCTCTGCAGGGCTGTGAAAAGAAGAGGAATGCTTTATTCCAAGAGGGAAATAAAACAGGAAAAAAATAAGGAGATGAGGATTCAATCTTTTAGTTTCCACTCACTGTATTCTGTTCTCCTCCTTCTCTTCTTCATCTTCATCACTACCAGTGAGGACTACGACGGCATCGTCTTCCTCAGTCGCCTCTAACTCACTCCTAACCGCCTCTCTGTCCCCGTCTGTGTTCGTCTGCTCTGCGGATGCCAGTCGCTCGGCCAAAGTCAGACCTCCTTCTGTCAGAGAATACCTGAAAGAAGCACAAAGTTGGGTTATACGCAGGCAAAGACAAAATACTGCATGGTGGATTACATCTTTGTGGTCGTTGACAGAGTTTAAATAAAGTAGAGCTGAAACAGCAACAACTGTTAAGTTTTAGCAGCAAGTGCGACAACAAAAAGCAGCCAAGAAGCATCTTTGTCAAATACAGCAGAAGAGAGAGAGACTAGAAATTATTTGATTAGTTTACAGTCTGATTACTAAGTTGATCCTAATTTCAGTCAAAATTACACCGATTCTTTTTCTTCTTACCAAAGCAGATCATCTGCTTCCACCTCACCCTATCATCCTCCTCCAAAACCCTCTGCAGGTCCTCCTACACTACATCCATGAAGCACCTCTGTGGCCACCTTTCCTCCTGCCTGCCAGCTCCACATTCAGCATCTACTATCCATCTCAGCCCCACCTCTTTGTCTTCAAGCCTGAGACTTCAGCCTGAGCTGTCCCTCTGATGCATTCATTCTAATCCTGTCCAAATAAGTCAAAAGCTTAATTTCTAAAAAAACACATTTTACTACCTAAATTAGCTGCACTTAAAACACTCAATACGAAAATAAGCCGACTTCTACAAGACTAAAAGAAAAGACGTGAGGTTACAGTAAAAGCACTGACACGCTTCAAGCAGCCGTACCTTGCAGGATTGTGAGTCTTTATCACCAGGTTCTTCTGGATCAGAGTGCTGACTGAGCTCCAGGCGGTGTACTTACTGCCTAAATCAGGCTGCAGACAGAGAAAATGAAGGATGGACGCTTCACAAGAAGACGGCGTGCATGCAGACGGATGAAGAACACAGGAGATCGAAGTGAAAGCACTCACCGCAGTGAACGATTTGTCACAGAGATGCTGAGCTTCTGCCTGCAGCTCCATCTTAAACATGTAACCTTTACTACCAGGGACCTAGACAGAAAGCACACGGTGGTAATGAAACACCGGTTTAACACTGACTGATGCTGCAGTAGTTGGAAGAAAGAGGAAAAATCTACCTGAGTTTCTTTGTAAAGAGTCAGCAGCACAGCATAGCCCCCGGATCTCTTCTGGGGGACATACTCCCTCTTCTTCTTCCTCCCTCCATCTCCTCCTCCATCCTTTCCTTGATCACCTGCAGCATTTTTCTATGAGGAAAAAATAGTTACACACTGTAATGACAATGGAAACATCCCCTCATACTGCAAATATCTGGCTGAGGTTTTTTTTGTTGTCGTTTCTGATGCTTCTACTTTTACTGTAATCACAAAAAGCATTTATTGGTGTGAAGGAAAATATTTATTTCCATGAATCTCCTCTTTGTTTCCAACTTTACCTTTTTGGATGGAGCCAGGATGATGTTATTGTCTGATCGGCCAGGAGGGGGCGCTCCTTTGGGGAGAGCGTGTATAGAAGCGTCAGCACCTGGAGCAGAGGAACAGGTGAAGACACGGGAGCTGGGTAAACTGGTTGCTTTGTGATACGTGATTTTCACAGAGTAAATATCATTTAGAGGTCACTCGACAAGGCTCACACGTCTCTGCAATGGTCTGACCGAAGAACACGTTACCAGTTCCACTGATTATTTTTTTATTTATCTTGTTTTGTTAACAACTCCCTAGTTTTACTAATCTCAGAATCTCTTTACAGAGTCCCACCATGATACCTTCTTTGTTTAGTGAGATGCTGTATAGTGAGAAATAAAAGAGGATTGCTTCAGTTTGCCATGTATTCTTTCAGCTCAATATATGTTGATGTTTGTTTGTTTTACAGGGTAAAACATACCTGACATTAATGATAATGTTACAAAACTGCTTTCAGTGATCTGGGGTTAAGCGTCCATTAAAAGCTCACTTCCTCTACTTTAAACAGACTAAATATTTGTTCCTTTAATGTTTTATGATTTGATGCAAAACTACAGACATTGAACACAACATAAGTTTATTGAGAGGTCAACAATTACATGAATACAAACTTCCAGATTTGCAAAGCAAACTTTGCAATGATGCATTTTTTGTATGATTTTCTACAGTTTTGCTCTTAATTCTA